TCTTCTGGATCATCCAAATGCTCTCTAGCAAACTTCAGACGGGCCCGGACATGTACTGGCTTAAACAGGGGGACACGTCTAGCACTGCAGCATCTGAGTCCCTGGCGGCATAGTGTGTTACTGATGGTAGCCTTTGTTACGTTAGTCACAGCTCTCTGCAGGTCATTCACTAGGTCCCCCCGTGTGGTCCTGGGATTTTTGCTCACCATTCTTGTGATCAGTTTGACCACACGGGGTGAGATCTTGCGTGGAGCCCTAGATCGAGGGAGATTATCAGTGGTCTTGTATGTCTTCCATTTTCTAATTATTTCTCCCACAGTTGATTTGTTCACACCAAGCTGCTTGCCTATTGCAGATTCAGTCTTCCCAACCTGGTGCAGGTCTACAATTTTGTTTCTGGTGTCCTTCGACAGCTCTCTGGTCTTCACCATAGTGGAGTTTGGAGTGTGACTGTTTGAGGTTGTGGACAGGTGTCTTATACTGATAACAAGTTCAAACAGGTGCCATTGATACAGGTAATGTGTGCAGGACAGAGGAGCCTCTTAAAGAAGAAGGTACAGGTCTGTGAGAGCCAGAAATCTTGCTTGCTTGTTTGTAGGTGACCAAATACTTATTTTCCACCATAATTTGCAAATAAATTCTTTCCAAATCAGCCAATGTGATTGTGATTGTTTTTTTTCTCATTTTGTCTTTCATAGTTGAGGTCTACCTATGATGCCAATTACAGGCCTCTCTCATCTTTTTAAGTGGGGGAACGTGCACAATTGGTGGCTGACTAAATACTTTTTTGCCCCACTGTATGTGGCAGGCTTGGGATTCCAAGCATATGACACTAGTATATTGCAGCCTAAATAACACCATTAGTTCAAATTCTTTACTGGACCAGACTTGCTGCTTTGGGTCATGGTGGATATTCTAGATGTCCATCCAACTCCCATAGCTTCCCCCTACGGCAAAGGTCAAACCAGCTAACCCCAATCCTGAGGCACACGCTGAAGATGTGGGACTCCCTATTTCCATTGGGAATGTCAGGCAAGGCTTCTTTCTATTGGTGGATTTCCCAAGGCTTTGAGACTATTAATTTAATGCCAACAGTGAAAGAGTTACGAGCATTTGCCAAATTTTGTGATAACTATCACATCCCCTCTATTGAACTCTTTTGGTATCTCCCACTTTGTCATTAAACCTTTGGTGAAAAGCCTTGCCTCTCCAAAACGCTTACAAGGTTTCAATCTATATGGAAATCCTCAGCAACCACTAAAGGCACCCTGTCTCTGATTATTGGGTCCATTTGTGACCATCTAACGGAGGTATTGCCATCTTACTGTGCCCAATGGTCTCAAGACCTCAAAGAATCTCTATCAGTGGAGGATTGGATACCGACCTGACAGGCCACCTCAAAATGCTCCCCAAATATTCAGGTGTTGGAAAGCTCATATAAGGCTCTCACCCATTGGTATTTTACTCCTGCGCACATAGCCAATTATGTCCCGGATATTATTATTATTATTATACAGTATTTATAAAGCGCCAAAAGTTCGCTCAGCGCTATACATTACAAAGGGGGACAGAACATGTGACAGAACAATACCAATACAATGTGATACACGAGGGGTTCGAGGGCCCTGCTCTTTCGAGCTTACAATCTAGGAGGGAGGGGGTGGTGGCACAGGAGGAGATAGCTGTGGGGGATGGAGTGGTAGGAAGAGTGGAGGAGGTCGGCAAGTTAGCAGGGGGTGGGGTAGGCTTCCCTGAAGAGATGGGTTTTCAGGGTGCGCCTAAAGGAGAGGAGAGTAGGTGATAATCTGATGGGTTGGGGCAGGGAGTTCCAGAGGATGGGTGACACCCTGGAGAAGTCCTGGAGGCGGGCATGGGAGGAGGAGACCAGGGAACTAGAGAGAAGGAGGTCTTGTGAGGAGCGGAGTGTGCGTGCTGGGCGGTACTTGGATATTAGGTCAGTGATGTAGTTTGGGGCAGTATGGTGGACAGCTTTGTACGTCAGCGTTAGGATTTTGAATTTGATCCGTTGCGCAATCGGAAGCCAGTGGAGGGATTGGCAGAGGGGGGTGGCGGAGACAGAGCGGTTGGAAAGGTGAATGAGTCTGGCAGCCGTATTCAGGATCGACTGAAGCGGGGATAGCCAGCGGCGAGGCAGGCCAGTGAGGAGGGAGTTGCAGTAGTCGAGTCGTGATATGAAGAGAGAGTGGATGAGCTGTTTAGTGGTTTCTGGGGTTAGGAACGTGCGGATTTTGGCGATGTTGCAGAGGTGGAGTCTGCACGAGTTTGTTAAAGATTGGACTTGGGGCTGGAAGGATAGGTTGGAGTCCAGAATGACACCCAGTACTCTGGCCTGCAGGGCGGGTTTGATGGTAGCGTTGTTGGATGTGACGGAGAAATCAATGGGGGGTGGTGTCCGGGCTGGGGGGAAGACAAGAAACTCAGTTTTGGAAAGGTTCAATTTAAGGAAGTGGAGCGACATCCAGTCTGATATGTCGCTCAGTAGGTGTGTGATTCGGGTTGAGACCAAGGGGGTGAGGTGGGGGGTTGAGAGATAGATTTGTGTGTCGTCGGCATAGAGGTGGTAGTTGAAGCTGTGAGAGTGTATGAGTTGGCCAAGGGAGGAGGTATAGATGGAGAAGAGAAGGGGCCCAAGGACAGAGCCTTGAGGGACCCCAACAGAGAGGGGGAGTGAGGGGGAGGTGGTAGCATTATAGGTAACGCTGAAGGAGTGTTGTGACAGGTAGGATGAGAGCCGGGAGAGAGCAGAATCTCTGAGGCCGAGGGAGTGTAGTTTTTTGAGGAGGAGGGGGTGGTCGACTGTGTCGAAGGCCGCAGAGAGGTCAAGGAGTAGGAGCACTGAATAGTGGCCATTAGCTTTGGCGGTTAGCAGGTCGTTGGAGAGTTTGAGTAAGGCAGTTTCGGTGGAGTGTAGTGAATATGATTCCCTTTGTTTCAGAGGGTACTTAAACACAGGAACAATGTTCATATTTAGTAGTAGTCCTGCCCAACAGCCTACTGCTTGTGGACTGGTGTATAATAATTGATCCACTCAGTCACACATCAAGCTGCAGAAAAACCCAAACAAAGCTTTCCTTCATAAACAGTTACAAGAGATACCACACAAATCTATGATACTGATCGAGTCCTTTATGGCGACTAGGCAAACCATAGCATGTGCCTGGAAACCTCTGATACTCCACTTTGAGAAAGTGAAATCCAGAATACAGGGCATATTAATTAATAAAAAGCTAACGGCGGTATTGGAAGACAAACACGACTGGTTTCTGTTGATTTGGTAGCACTGGCTTGACTACCAACAGGTCTCTAGATTTACAACACAACTGACCAATCTATAACTGGTAATTCTCCCCACTCAGTCCATCTTGAGATGAACCCATGTCCAGAATCCCCCACGGCAAGAAACCTCTCTTCTTTTTCCCCTTTTCCATTACTTCACCTCCCTTGGTACCTTTTCTTGAATTCTTTTACTCCCTTGTCTCTACAGCTCACCAGAGGACCCTCTTCCCCCCCTTTTTTTTTTCTTGAGTTTTGACCTTTGGACTTTAGCGGTCGATCAATATTATTAACACGCATGTCCAGGTATGATGGTTATGGTCAAACACTCAATTAGCATGCTTTCAAGACAACCTTCCTTCCTTTTTCCACTATCATTCTGTATCACGTAGATGATCAAAAGATTGGCCAGATTTGTTCCGCTATTATAAAGCTGTACATTATGCAGCCTATGCTACAAGATATAGTACAGTCATGATCAAAAATATTGGCAGCCCTGCATTTCTGTCAGATAATGCACTGCTTCGCCCAGTTACATGTTGCAATTACAAATGTTTAGGTATTCATGTTTATTTTGTTTGTATTGGTATAACACAAAAAAAGTGGAGAAACAAAAAGCCAAATCTAACACATTCCACACAAACCCCAGAAATGGACTGGAGAAAATTATTGGCACCTTCTCAAAATTGTAAGAAATAATTGCAGTTCAAGTTTGCGATGCTACTGTAATTTGTAATTAAACTCACCTGTATCAATGAACAGATCTTATTGTTCTTGTGTCCACTGTGCGCAACATTGTCAAGATGTTTACATGGCCATGACACTATAGCTAATCTCCCTAGATGTGAACGAAAGAGAAAACCTTGCTAAAAGATTGCAACAAAGGATTGTTCAAATGGTGGATAAAGAACCGCAAGCACTTTCCAGACAAATTCAAGCTGACCTTCACACACAGGGTACAACTGTGTCAGCTCACACTATACGTAGAAATAAGAATGAAAAGGGACACTATGTTAGGAGACCCAGGATGCCCCACTGCTGACACAAACATAAAAAGCCAGATTGGAGTTTGCTGAGGCAGACAAAATCCTTTTGAGAGAATGTGCTGTGGACAGACTAAACAAAATTACAGCTTTTTGGTAAAGCCAAATTTTCAGAAAAACAAATAAAGTCTTAAAGAGAAGAATACAGTCCCTATAGTCAAACTAGAAGTTCATTGATGTTTTGGGGTTGCTTTGCTGCTTCAGGCACTGGATGTTTTGACCGTGTGCATGGCATTATGAAATCGGAAGACTACCAAAGAATTCTTGGGAGCAATGTAGGGCCCAGAGTCAGGAAGTCGGGTCTCCATCAGAGGTCATGGGTTTTTCAGCAGGACAATGACCCAAAGCACATGTCAAAAAGCACTCAGAAATTATTTAAGACAAAGAGCAGGAGAGTACTTAGCTGGCCAGCAATGTCAGGGCAGGGCTGTGGAACGGACAGGTAGGCCTAGTGGCAGGGTAACGCACTGGCTGACAACAACCACCACCAACAGACTGAAGTCCCTCAGGGCGCGGAGTCTAAGTCCCAGGCTGCCCTTCACCAGGGCCCCTGATGGTGGGGATGGACTTGACGCAACCAGGGACCAGGTCGCGGCCCCCGAGACACCCCAGCTGCGGTAATGGCCGCCGCCAATGGCGTGTAGCTGGTGAGAATGACAATAGCGTAGTCAGACAAGCCGGGTCAATAACAACGGGACAAAACAGTACAGAACAGTAGACAGAGAATCACAGGTCACGGGCCGGGTTCAGCAACGGAAGGGCAGATCAAAGGGAAACACAGAGAATGGTCTTAGTACAAGCCGAGTCAGAATACCAGAAGAGTCACGAGCGTATACACAGAGCTGTAGCAAGACAAAGACACAAGTGCAAAGAGCATGTGCAGATCCCAGGCTTATATGTACTCAGCCACACCCCTCTGGGGGATGGACCTCAGAGACCTGAAGGCATAAAAGATTCCCATCATGCTCAGCAGAAATCCAAGATGGATGCTAGCACATGGAGTAACAAAACCTCTGGGAAAAGGTAGGACCTTGACAAGCAATGAGTCCAGATCTCAATCTCACAGATCACATGTGGAACGATCTCAAAATAGAAGTTGGGAAAAGGAACCCTTCCACTCTGGAGCAGTTGGCGAAAGTAGAGTGCTCCAAAATTCCAGTAGAGAGATGTAAGAAACTCAGTGATGATTACAGGAAGCGATTGATTACAGTTATTTTTTCCAAGGTGTGCTACCAAATATTAAATTGAGGGAGCCAATAATTTTGTCCAGTTGATTTTTGGGGGTTTTTGTAGAATGTGTCAGATTTGGCTTTTGTTTCCACACTTTTTGTGTCATACCAATAAAAACAAAATAAATAAAACATGAGAATGCCTAAACATTTGTAATTGTAACAATTTTCTGGGCAAAGTGGTATTTCTAATAGAAATGTAGGGGTGCCAATATTTTAGGTCATGATGGTATATACTACCTTAATTTTATTGTAATGGACCATAATGGCAACCTCTTTATCAAGCGGTTATTGTTTAAGACCCCTGCATGGGTCCATGATGTTGACCCACTTCATACATGTTATATTCATTGAAGTTTACGGTCATTGTATTTATGTATATTCCACTTTGATGTGCCAATAAATCTCTTTTGTTACCAGAAATTAATGGAGGTGGCTGATGTCTAGCAAAAGCACCATGCTGTTTAAATTTTAACACAACGCTTCCGGACCTGTGTACACTGTAATGTGGGGTGAGCTTAAACAAAGGGTATTGCCGCACATATGAATGAAGAAAAAGAAAGAGAAAGAGAAAGAGAGAGAGAGACAGAGAGAGAGAAAGAGAGACAGAGAGAGAGAAAGAGAGACAGAGAGAGAGAAGAGAGAGAGAAAGAGAGACAGAGAGAGAGAAAGAGAGACAGAGAGAGAGGGGGGAGAGGGGGGGGGGAGAGGGGGGGGAGAGGGAGGGAGGGGGGGGGAGGGAGGGAGGGAGGGAGGGAGAGAGAGAGGGAGAGAAAGAGAAAAAGAGAAAAAGAAAGAGAAAGAGAGAGAGAAAGAGAGAAAGAGAAAAAGAGAAAGAGAAAAAAGAAAAAAAGAAAAATAATTTGAGAGATGGAGAAAAAATAAAGATACACATACGAAAGATTACAGAAAGAGGTAGGAGGTGTGTGAAACAGAGAAACCAAATAAAAAAGAAAAGCTTAAAAAGATAAATGTAAACAATGGCAGTAAGATAGGGATAGAGTAAAATAAAGAAAAAAATGGGCAATTACAGTATACAGTATCTCACAGCGGTTTAGACATTAATGGCGGTGTGTTAAGTTATTTTCAGGGGAGCAAATTTACATGTTATACAAGCTGTACACTCACTACGTCACATTGTAGCAAAATGTAATTTCTTCAGTGTTGTCACATAAAAATATATAACAAAAAATATTGACAAAAATGTGAGGGGTGAACTCAGTTCTGTGAGATACTGTATATGGAGACTAAAGCTTGTCGTACACACATATATTTCTCAATCTATGCTAGACAGTGAATGGATGAATCTGCTGTAGCTATTGTATCTTGACAGTCTACACCTGTGGCTGTCAGGATACCAGAACAGGGCCTGCATCTGATTAGATGCTGAAGCTGTTCAACCAACAATTTTAGGTGGTGCTCCTTCCATTTTTGCATCAAAAGATGTAGGCCAAAATGACGCCAATAGGCCCACCTGCTAATTGAATTTCAGCCGGATCATTATGATGACCAGCTTAAGAGGTGGAGTGTAAAGGAAAGAAATGGGTATGAAAAAAGTGCAGAGGGAGGAAAGGTAAAAGAGAAAGCTCATGAAGTAAAAATAAGAGAAAAAGAAAAGAAAAAGTGATAAAAATCAGAATGCAGTAGAGGTGAATCTTTACACATTGTGTGATCACACATTGCAGGAGATCCGCAATATCATTAATTTAAGCTGTTTTCTGCAAGATACTGTGTCCCTACGGGGGAAAGAAAATGTTCTGAGAAACTTTTAATAATTAAAAAAGTATTATCAAGATGGTAGAATTTTTTCTATAGCATTGTGCTCTTTCATAGAGTAATAGAAACTTGAGCAAAGAGAATAGATAGACTGCCATTGCTAACCTCCCTCTAAGAATTCCAGTTTCCCGACTGTCTCTGTCACTATTTTTCTGAGTCACTGTCCCAGACCAATTGCACAATTACAGCAATAAGTCACAGTCACACAAGTCATAGTGAAATCAGAAGCCCTGATCTGTGTGCTGGTTCCATTACAGTCATTTAGAAAGTAATGAAGCTGTTGGATCGGCACTGAGTGAGCATGAGTGAGGTAGCTAGAATTTTCAGAAAAAAAGGTCAAAAATGGCAGCTGATGCATTACTGTCAGCACAGATTTAATTTAAAACACTGGAAAAATTAAACTAGACTCTACGTATTCAATGCTACAGATCTGATTTCAATCAGTTTATTCCAACAGGGCTAACACCATGAAAGAAGGGGGGGGGGGTTGCTTGTGTAGCACCCTCCTAGATAGGTTCCTAGATGATAGGTAAATTTTCTTTTTTGGCTCTTCTGTAATCATTGGAGCAGATGTTGATTTCCTTGGTCTGTTCTAGATCTCACAGGTTCGACTGTTTCCCCTTTGCATTCTGGAGGTTTCCAAACCCTGGTGAGGTGTGCCCAGTAGGTGGCTGGGGAGAACATAAATAGTCTGGGGGGGGGGGGGGACATAAATAGTCTGGGTCTGGAGAAGCCCTTGTTCCTGGGGGAGTATTCTTACTACTGCTAACTAAGCAGTCTCATATAATGATCTGGTCTGGAGGATTAACTAGTGGGTGCTGGGTGGCAGCTGGAGAGTGTGTAGCTGTTCTGTAGTACTGTGAGTATTAACCCATCCCTCAATGAAGAGCGTCTGGTGGAAGCTAGGAACTGAGCAGTTGTCCTTAGACAGAGATATTTGGAGGAAACTGGGGGAGTTAATCTGTCCTGGAGAGACATTGTGAGAATACACCTGAGTTCACGATCCAAGTGACTGTGTGCCATTTTGAAGGATAAGTCTCAGCATTAGCTCTTTCTGAGACAGCTCTTACAGTGTCTCAGTTTTGGCCATTCCTATTAACACTTGGCCTAAAGACTGTTCAGAGAAGCGTAGCCTAGTCAAGAGTGTACTTTTGTTACTGTTCATCATGCCTTGAGCACCCCTATACCACCCTCACCCCAAGTTCTACAAGCAATAAACTTTAAACGACAACCCCTGGACTGTTTATTGGAGCCAGAGTGATTGGTCTATTGCTTGTGTGACTGGTGACCTCTGCACTATCTGCAAAAGAACCAGTTAAAATCAGCAGCTCTTACAGGGGTATCGCTACACTTCTAAATAGGAGAACAAGAGTTCTTCCAGAAACCTATACCTTGCTTCTTCCTATGGGTCAGTTCTCCATAACAATCATGAAGCAGTATTCAAAGAAAAACAACCTACCCACCATATGTGCCTACATTCCACTCAGTTACACATTAAAGTAGAATGCCAGCCAGAATTTATTTTAATTGACCAGAGAGGGAAAGGGTTTTGTCACCTATCAAGCTTTTACTGTTGTCAGTACCCCAGCTGAGTGGAGATTTCTACTTACTCCCTGTCCCAGAGTAAAAATCAAGTGGTGACAGAAGAACTCTTTTAGTAGAACAGGAAATGGTGAAAAATGGCTTGGGGGTCCAGCTCTTTCTTTTTTTTCGTTTTTAAAAGTTCAAAAAAAATTTTTTTTTTCTGGACATCCTAATTACCACCCCTTAGGTCACTGCAGTGACTGAGTGCATGGCTGGGCTACAGAATCATTCTTTTTAGTTGGACAATTTATACAAGTATAAGCTTGCAATATGATTATTCAGGAGAAATTACAGGAGTTTGACACTGAGCTGTTACTTATGTTTATGATTCCAGTTTTATTACGGATAGATCTGGGATGTTATCAAGTGAGGTGATCGATATATGTAACTAACATATACCAGTTTTTTTTTTTTTTTTTGGGGGGGGTCCTAAAAATGCAACAGGTGTGCCATGAAATGCATAGATCAATATTTTATTATGATTGGATTTTCTTGGATCGGAAGTAAAAAGCATCACTTACTTACACCATAGGATATACTGTACAGTATAAGTCCATTTTTTTTTTAATGGTCTATAGCTCTATGACCTACGGTAATATTTATGTGATTTTAAGTACTTTTATGCATAAATAATTTGTATTTTTATACCTTAAGTGTGTTTATGAAATGCACTTTGTGAATGCTTGGAATTGACCAACACAGGTATCTTTTAGACAAGGATAGATAATTTCCATCCAGTAAAAAAAATACATGTAATGTCTGCCCAGGTTACAATGAGCAGTAAATCCTTGTTCTTGAATGAAATGTCTTTAGGAAAAGAGAACTATAAGCCAATACACTCTGCCACTCAGGCATCCCATACAAAGCCTCTAAAGATTTCCTCAAAAGAATCTTTACAATTCTGTGAGTTCCTTAATAAGTAATAAAGCATCCTCTGAATGGTGCCCAGCGCTCCTACGTTCAAAATTAATCAGGGCAGACATTTGGCACGGAATCTGGAAGCAAGTGGAGATCACTAGAGTAGCTGTGTTTAGTTCAGTGATTTCCAGCTTCCCAGGACATTGGCCAGGTTTGGCATATACAGTACATAGTTACATTTGTCCAAGCTGGGCCAATAGAACTATGTTAAAATATCCATTCCTGGTGTTCATCTTAAAAGTATAAATTAACTGCAGTAAC